CGAAATTATGTTGACATTAGCAAGACCAAGGAAAAAAAACAGGCTAGTAATGTTAACTGTAAACAAAGCATTAAAAAAATGATGTCATAGTTATTTATAAATTTGTCTCTGAATTAATGAGAGAGATAAAATTTCCAGAAAAAGTTCTGAGCATCACTTACAAACTTTTCCAAAAACTACTAAAAGCATTAAAAAAATGATGTCATAGTTATTTATAAATTTGTCTCTGAATTAATGAGAGAGATAAAATTTCCAGAAAAAGTTCTGAGCATCACTTACAAACTTTTCCAAAAACTACTACAAGATAACACCACAACCGGACACAGCTAAGTGGGTATTGGATCGTACCTCAAATGAATTGACAAGCTGCTTTGGGTTTACTTTTATGAACATCTCATATTTTCCAAAGTTTCGCTTCAACAGTTCCTCATAGGTCAACTGAAAAGTAACTTTGCTGGTTGGTGCAATGTTGACTGAAACACTGAATTTTTCTGTTTTTCTTCCAGCAGCCCTTCACATGTTAAACACAGTAAGATTCATAAGATTCAAGAGATCCATAGAAGGAAGATCACATATCCTCATACTGAATAATGTAGACCAAGATTTAATATTTTCATTTGCTCTTTGTTCATATACTTAACATCTGTTTATTAAATAAATGCTTAGGACAGGAAATGAAATAATAAAACAAATTTGGGGTGGCCTCACATACTTACTTCACAAGCCCTGCAGTCTGGCCCCTTGAAACTGCTTGTTGATACTGCTTTTGGGCAACTTCTTTTTCCTTTATGATTCCAGGATAAATGACACCATCAATTGTCCTGTTGAAGAATACATTAGATATCTGAATATACATGCAGACATTTTTATTGTTTTTTCCCCTTCAGTTCATTAGCTCCTGTAGGCTAAAGGAGATATTTAACAGGTATAACGAAGAGGCTGGAAAGAATGCTGCCTCTATATCAATGAAAACATAATGAAGAAAACTGAAGGAGGACCCACTCCTAAAGGATGCTGCAGAGCAGATAGTAAAACTCTACCCAGAGGGCACAATTAGTTCAGAGGAACTTATATAACAGGAGGCCACATTTTGGTTGAACATTAAAAAAAATGTCTTGAAGGTAAGAATAATGCTGTAATGGAATCAACTAGACTGGTGAGAATGGAGAGGTTGTGAGGGAGATCTTAGTTCTGGGCTTCCTGTTTTGAGCACATAATTAGATTAGATGGCTACAAGGTCTTCTGCAACTCTATGATTCATAGTAGTTATTCTGTTACAGTATCTAGCTATTTCTAGACCAGTGTTTCTCAGCCTGATTGAGAATTCTGGGAGCTGAGGTCTACACATCTTAAAGTTGCTAAGATTGAGAAACACTGTTCTAGACTGATCTTCAAAGCATAGAAAAATAACAGTAAAATGTGCATACATGGTAAAGTTGGTAATAAAGCCTGTTTTAGGAAGCTCCATATCAAAGAAAGCTTCCTTGGATACATTGGCACGATTCACAGCTCGACTAGTGATAACATTACGGGAAAACCTGGAAGTAACACTGCAGTCAATTTTCATCCAGTAGATTTCTATGCCTTTGGTGTGCTAGAGAGTAGAAGAGTCACATGGTTATAAGGAAATGTGCAGATAATATTTTGTCTTTATTTTAAACATTTCATTTGAGATAGCATAAAGATCTTTCAATACTTCACATTCTAGACCAGGAAACTATCCAAGATGAATTGGTGGTGCCATGTAACTTTATGTAAACAAGTATAAACAAAGAGGAGAAGTAGCAGTAGAGGGGAGAAGATCTGACAATGGTGAAAGGATATGCAAGGTCAAATAGGAATTAACAAAAAGAAAAGAATGAGAGACAACATGATAAAGATTCAGTGCAGGAAAACTGAAGAAAGCAATGCAGAACCACACATCCCACCTAAATGTTTGGATGTGATCTCCAGAGTTCCTTCAAAAGTGCTGCCAAATTAAAAAAATTTATGTGACAGAAGGGAAATAATTACATACATAGTATTATTCATATAGAATTATTACATGCATAGTATTATTCATTTAAATGCTAATTACATTTAATTAACATTTTATTTACTAACAAAAAGTTAATTAAATTGGCCCTGACCCCACTAATTTCCTTGTTCCACTCCTGTTATTTTTTAAAATGAAACCCAAAGGCCCAAATATGTGCTCAGCATATTCACAATGCAAGAAGTATCCAGGGAATAATTTTGATGAGGGATCTGTGGGTAAGACCTTTATCTCCGATCCTTACAGACAAAGTCTTGCACTGTGCTTTTAGGAAATGGATCTTTATAGGGGCAGAATACAAAAACAAACTTTGAAAGCATTTTATTTTCCTTCTGTGAAGGGAAGGCAAAAGATGTTTGTTAGTCCCTGAATCCATTTATGAATCCAGTCTCCTTCATAAAAGGCAGTGATGGGTCTTGGGTTCCTTTGCAAGACCAACTATAGTAAACGAAATGCATCTCATATTTTCTCAGAACTGAAAACATCTCTAACTCGAGGACTGATTTCTGAAGATATGTATATAAGGTCTGACTTTAAGAATCTCTACCCATCCCACCAACACACAAAAATGTGAATGAAGTTTCAAGCTGGGTAAATGATTTCTTTAAGCCCAGCAATGAAGAGGCGTGTGACTAAGAGAAAATATTCATATGACTTCATGGCATCAAAACTTAATGACCAGCATTCTAAATGAAAGGTTACTTACCACATCAGTGGCACTTCTTTTCTACAAATAAAGAGTGAAAAAAGGCTTAAGTATTGCCAAATAGAGATGCTATATCTCACAAAACACGCTGCATAGTTATTCCACATTTCTTCTCATTATAAGTGGTAGTTATCACAATAAATGAGAGCTTCCATAAGATGGTCAGAATAATCTGCATGCATAACATTAGTTGAGTTCTTATCAAAGAAACCCCCATCAGCTTACCAACCTGTCTAATTTGGAAAGATTAATTACATAAACAGAAAATAACGTCCATCTGGAAGATGTGTCACAAATTATCATGCTAACTAGGATAAATGCATCTACCTAACAGGTAGAGCTTCTCTACTGTTCCTCAGATTCACAGAATACTAGGATGATTTTATATTCCTCCCATGTTTGTGGAGCTGCCCAATTTCAGGTAAGTTAGGTATAGTCACAGTTGTGGTGCAGAATAATTCACTATGGAACAAATACCTGGAAAACTGCTCTGTGTTTAAATCTTCAGAGTTTTCCCTTTCAGAAAAGCAGCTGTGCTTGTAATGTCTCTCTCTCTCATATATATATACCTCCATGCATCCATTTTAAACACCCCACCACCACACACAAATTGATTCAAGTATTCCTTCCTTTATCTGAAGTATTTATTCTTTCTTAGTTCAATGTTCTCCAGCAAGCAATTCTTGAAATACGCAACATGGTGTACAGTATATGGATCCAGAGAAGGTAAACGGAGTTTGGATCCAGCACAGGCCCTGCAAGGTACCTGTCAGCAGCTCATGAAAGGAGCCACAGCAGTTGCTGATAGGCGCAGTGCAGGTCCAAAGCCCCTTTGCCTGCTTCATATTCAAATGCAGCACATCTCAGCCATGCAGCTCAGGGCCTGCAAGTTCACATGGAAGTAGTTTCCATAAAGTTTAGAACTGCAGCCAAATTAAGTTTACTGTTAAGTAAAGGTATCTTGAATCAGGCAGGCATAAAGCTGAACAAGTCTTGAAGGATCAAGACAGTGCATTTGCTGTTAAAGCTAGAAAAAAAAATTTCTGCTGGAAAAAGGAAGTTACTTTATATTTTAGCTACATACCTTAATGTTTCTGAGTGGGTATATCAAAATATCTGAAATTACAACAGCAGGAATCAAGCCCAGTAAGATGTAAATTGGGATATGCTTCCCCATGTTGAAAGAAAAATAAAAATGTCAATTTGAAAGGACCTTTATTTGTAGTGAACTTTGTAAGCAGTCAAAGAGTAACATCAAAGTAACTATGGCAAATATTTATCTTTGGAAAATGGTTGATGAAATTTCGTCATGAAAGCTAGAGAGTCCAAGGCCAGAAAACTACATTTCAGCCTCTAATCTATCAAGCTCAGGCTCACCCATCATGTCCTATGTAAAACACCATTTACAATAAATTTCAAATTAGGGTTCACATCTGGATCTCCAATCTGGTCAGAACTGGTGTTCTTTGTACATTAGGAAAGAAATGCAAAGGTCACAAAGCTGTAGTAATTTTGATTGGCTATTAGATAGTCATGGGTCCTCTTGTTCAAGAACTGGAACTGGAAGACTGTCTTTCTGTTCAAGAACTTTTGAACAACATAATCCTCCATTTTAAAATACACTGTTTGAAGGGAAAGTCAGTCCAAATCTGATTGAAGGCAAATGAATAAGAATAAAGGAAACCAGCCAAATTTGTCTTGAAATTGCTCATCCACAGTTAGCAGGACTTGAATCCAGATTTGAGCAAGCACTTGGGTCACCAGGATACATTTCCCACAGGGCACTTCTATTTCAATTATAGTCATTATGTTTTTATGCATGTAAATTAGGACGGGTGTTTTCCCAACCTAGTTTCTGGCTAGTGATAATTTGGAATTGTGAGAGTGTGTTGCAAGCACTATGGCTGCCAAGTGAGGTGACAGGGATTGCTAGTCACAAAACAGTACCCAGAGGCAGGTCTGTGAAGAGATTGATACCCATGGATGCTGCACTGGAGACACTGGAAGTAGGATGTGCACACTTTATGCAAATTGTATTATTCCTTTATTGGATTTCACTTTGCCTTTTCTTTAAAAAAAACACTTTTATTCTCTTGTCCTCTTTGTTTTGTAATGCATCAGCAGCTGTCCTAATTGGCTGTTATACAAGATATACTGATTTCTGAAACTGAGTTTAGATTGTATCTCATTTACCAATTCTTTTTCTTCACTTGATAAAATTGAAAGTAGTAGAGTAGCATTTTCCCAGGATCAAAGTTGCATGGGGGAGAACAGGAAATACTGGCCAGCTGAGTTCCACTACTGTGTCTTCAGTTTCTTTACAGCTGTCTGAAATTTGAAGGGCAAATTTCTTCCTCAGAACCCTGAACAATCAACACAGTTGCTGATCTTCAACTTCTGGAGGATTGTAAACAAGGAGAAAGTGATCTGCCAAAATGGGTTGTGGGAGAAAGCTGTTGCAGTTATCTTTTCAGATAAAATGGTGTGATTCTTTAAAACAAGCACAGACAATTTCTAGAGTCTGCTGGTGCACAAAAATGTGGATATTGGTTAAGTTGTATGCAAAACTGCAAAAGTTAACAAAATTTTAACATGAGAATAATGCAGCTTTGGGATTTTTTTTCTTTAATGTAGAATGATGAATTTTAACAGGATAGAGTAGTAACTGAAAATATATAAAATGATATCTGTAGATCTTTATCTGTAAAATAGCAACTACATTAAACAAACTCAGGATACATTCCAGTAATTGCTCTTACGCTTAACAGGAATGGGACTTTATACAGTACTTATAAGAGAGAACAGAGTCTTTTCCTTAGTTTTTCAGAATCTGATTAAAGAAGAATATTGTCATAAAAACATAATTAAATTCTGGTTTAAAGTGTGTTTCTAATTTTAAGCTGCTGTTAAACAGAAATTCTTCTCTTAATGTAGTTCTCACAGGGATGGTGACAACTGCTCCACTCCAATGAATAAATTAATATACCTAGGACATTTCTACTAAAGAATGCTCATTTAATAAAGAGTATTCTGTTTCCTGAACAACAGCAACAAAACTTAGAAAGAACAGCATAGAAGTTTAAAAAATTATTGGGAAAGTAGAAGTGACCCTTAGCTGAAATTCTCCAAAGATGGTTTATTAGTCTCTGAAACACTGGTTTGTAGAAAGGAAGTACTTTGCTATCATACATTTCTCCTGCTCATAAATTATCAGTTTGGGGGTGGGGGGAGTGGTCTGTCTTCATGAGATGGTTGGAAGAGTCCTGAGGCCCTCTGGTGGTCTCAAAGGCAAAGTTGGTTATCCTGTTCTATGGAAAAATGCTTATCCTCTAGAGCAGTGTTTCTCAACCTTGGCAACTTTAAGGTGTATGGACTTCAACCCATGCTGGCTGGGGGAATTCTGGGAGTTGAAGTCCATACACCTTAAAGTTGCCAAGGTTGAGAAACACTGCTCTAGACAGTATTACTAATCAGAAACTCATTTTCCAATTGTAGAGAGAGACAAAAAAGTACCCTATGTGCACAAAAGTGGAGTATCAAGAGGTGTAGAAGAAAATGAGGGCTTGCATAAATGTCAAGAAAAAAGAACTTTAAAGAGGAAAACTGCAAAGAGAGAACCCCTCTCCCAACAGTAATTTCTTAGTGAGTATGAGAAAGAGTGATGACTGGATGAAAGTAAAAAGAGCAAATGGAGATGGAAGTGGAACAGAGTAACTGGGAAAGGGACATGGCTACCCCCTGAACAGAAATACTCCTTGTTTCCATCTTTAGACACCCTTTGTGTTTGCGTAAATTGTACATTTCAATAGTGAAGGCCAAGGTTCTATTGCAAAAACATCCACAGCAGCAATCAGAAATATAACACCCCAAGAAATGCTGTATAATACTTAACAAGCAGGGTTATGAATGCAGGTTTTATGGCTTTCCTAAAGGCCTGTAGGGTCGGGTCCTGTGGAATTCAGGGGGGATGCTAATCCTCACAGTAAGGATGGCTTCAGAGAAGGCCCATCACTGTTGCTTTTGTGATGGGACCCAGAGCATGGCCCCCTGCTAGATCTTACCAGATGGGTAGGAAACAATCAAACAGAAGCAGTCTTGCAGGTAACCATATCCCACATCATGAAAAGCCTTATAGGTAACAACCAGCACCTTGTGTTGCACCCGGAAGCCAGCTGGTAACCAGTGCAACTCACAAAGTAAAGGTGTCACATAGACAAACCAAGGTCCCCCAATAGTTTGCTGCATTCAGGATCAGCTGTATTCGGGATCAGCTTTAGTTTTCGAGTGGTCTTCAAGGGCAACCCCATGTAGAGTGTGTTGCAGTTGTCTAAATGCGAGGTGATTAAGGATTAGTGACAATGAGAAAAGTCTCCTGATCTATGATAGAGTGTAACTGGCACATCAGATGTATCTGAGCGAAGAGCAAGAGCCAAGACCCCCAAATATTAATCCCAATAAATTCGAACTGGAATTGATTCTTGCTTAGGAGCAAGATGTCATTGACTTCGCTCCAGGGAGACTTCAAGTAAACACAAATAGATTTTCACTGCAGTCCTCTCTGTCATATGATATGCAGGAGTGAGAATATAATTATTTAAGCCTACAGTTCCAAAATAAAAACTATGGCTCAGCTTAAGATCTTTACTGTGCAGTAGCAGTGACTCTTCAGGTCACCATTCAGTGTGGTGCTGCACCATAAATTAGCCATCTTGTTCGGGGGGAATTGTATTTCAACAACATCCAGAAGGTCAGTTCTGCTCTCCTTAAACATTACAAATTACAAAGAACTTTCGTTGGAATAGGATTCATATCATCACTGGCCATAGCAAATTATGAACAATATGTGGAGGGCCATGGATACCCCACATCTGGTCTTTTCACTGAGTTGCCTAGACATATAAGCATCGTTGTCGAATCTAGCAAGCAAAGAGCACGATCGACCACAAGTCAGGCTGGTTAAATGCCAGCACCTTCAAAGCTCTAGCCAGAATGCCCAGAACTAAAATGGCTGACAAGCGGTAAAATACTGTAGGTAACACGGTCGCATGAGCGCGCCGAAGAAAATGTGCCCGTATCCAAGATGGTCGCTCAAGCCATGGTTAATAGTACCATAGAAAATAGACGGGCATCCTTCTTTGTGCGTTCCGGAAATGGTGCTCTCTATGGCACCCGGAGGCTTTGTTGATCTCTATGGCATCGGCAGCAGCGTCCTCGCAGTGGGTGGATGGGGGTTGTTGTAGCCCCCCCACTCCCGGCTCTCAACGGGCGACTTGATAGCAGGGTCGTGTGAAGATGCCCCTGGGCGAATACACCTTCGTGCGGACCGTGGGGAAGGGCAGCTACGGGGAAGTGAGTCTGGTGCAGCACCGACATGATGGCAAACAGGTAAGGGGGGCTGGGGAAGGGGTTGGTTGTGAGAGGGACTCCGCCGCTGGCCCCGGGACGCGTGTGGCGGGGAGTGGGGGCACAACGTGAACTCATTTTCGCTCGCCCTCTCCCTCCCTCTCTGGAGGCGCGCAGGTTGGCGATGTAGTACAGTGGCCAGTGCGAGTCGCTGGTTGCTTTTGCTCTCCGACCAAAGGGGAATTCAAAAATAACTGAGCGCCAGAAAGTGGCAGCTTTCCCTCTGCAACAGGTATTATTCCGTGTGGCAGTAGGAGAGGCCGTCCTTTCCTCCTTCTGTTTTGAAATTCAGAATCGAGGATGTCCCGGTCTTTTGTCGGTTGATTCTGCTTTCGATCTACAGTACTCCCCTTTTCCTTCTTCATCATCCAGCTCTTCAACGGATTTATCCTAGGAAGAAGAGTGATTCTTTCCAAATTCCGTAATTTTTCTGTTGACCCCAAAACCTTTCTTTTTCTTGCAGGAGTAGCTTTTGATCAGGGATATTAGGAAAGGTGTCTTTAGACTACACCTAAATTAAAACTTACTTACATTTTAAATATCTGAAAATCATGATATTGATTTTCATGTCATGAAAATGTCATGACATGATAATTTTTATTTTGTATATAAAATATGTCATGATAATTTTTATTTTGTATCACTTTAATATATTAAAGGAGAAGAAATAAAAAGTGCAAAAGCAGTCCATAATTCTTGATATAATGAGTTCCAAGATTTTGATAACCGATTAAACAATTCACTTACATTTTTAAAACCTTACTGATTTCTGGTCTTTATAACACCAGATTAACAGACGTATTAAAGGAAAAAAAGGCAATAGTGAGACAACCCCTTATTATATGCATTAAGTATCCCCTTATCAATTTTACACTTCCAACTTTAAGGTTGAGAGGCAACCCTTTTAAAATATATGCTGGGGTGTCCAGTAACCAGAAAAAAAAGTTGAACTACATTTCAAACTGCATTTGAGAATTGTCTACCTGTATATTCTGATTCTAGAGTATTTTTTAAAACAAGGATACCAAATTTAGTTCAGGAGATTTTCAAACAAATGAGGCTTAATTTCTAAAATGCTGAACCCAGGGAATAAAACATTATTTGGGTTTTAAATGTTGCCTGGGGGTAGTAGAAGGTTGGATATGGCCTAATGCAGTGTTGTCCAAACTTGGCCACTTTAAGATGAGTGGACTTCAACTCCCAGAATTCCCCTGCCCGCCTTGCCGGCCGGGGGAATCTTGGGGGTTGAATCCCCCCCTTTTTAAATGGCCCAAGTTTGTACAACGGGGGCCCAAGGAC